TTATAAACTATACAAATAAGTAATATTTTTATATATTATATAGTATAAAAACTAAATAAGCCTTAATAAGCCAATAGGAATTTTGAGCAAGCCTATTTGAGCCAGCTCATTGGAGAACACTAGCTAGGACAAGATTGTGTTAATACTAATAAAAAATAATTTTTTATAGAAACTAGAATCATAGAACCAAGTTGATTAGATTCTATTGCATTATTTATACTTGTTTCTAACAAGTTATTTTTATCCAAATTATCTTTATCAGAGTTTTGTTCCAATTCACTTTCTAATTGCTCTATATGTTTTTTGAGATGATTTATTTGTCGAGTAAGATTTTGGATTTTTACTTTTTCTTCTTTGTAATACAACATTAATATCTGAATACTTTCTAAAAATAAATTTTTATCTTCTTTTTCTAAAAATATATTGTGTTAAATTAGAGCACTCAAATTTTCTTTTTTACTTTCAGTATCAATTAAGATACTTATTTCTCTAGCCCTTGCTTTTAATCTTTCCTGCAGTAAGATTTCATGCTTTTTTGCTTTTACCAAAAGCTAATTTTCTGAAAAAAGGTTCAGATAATGCTTTGTGATAGCTACTTTTAATGAAACAATGTTGTCATTATCCAAGAATCTGAGATACTGAGGTAAAGAATATTTACCAGTTAGATTAATTCTTGCCTATATATTTTTAAAAAATCTATAATTCAAATCAGTTTCTGATATTTCCATCAAGTTTTCGTTATTATAAGTAGTCAATTGAAATTTGAGATGATAATTTTTATTAATAATACTAAACTTGTAAAATTTTTTTGCTAACTGAAAAAAAACTAAATATCTAGATAATAAAGGAATTCAATCTTCTTTTTCAGTTTTAGGCTTATAATGATAATATCCGGTGGTTGATGGTAGAGCATTTTTATCAAGTAAAATTGCTTAAAGATTTTTATATAATATTAAAACTTCTAATTTTAGATTGATTTTTCTAACAAGATATCCATCTTGTGGTTTTCCTATTCATTCTCTTTTCTCAGGCATTTGGTTAATATATTTTTCATACTACATAATCATTTTGACTTGATTTTTGTAGAAGTTTATATAGAAAGAATTTTAACTTGAAATTATATGATTTGAGAATATTTGTTAACTATATAGATATATTTTGAGATATATCAGACATATAAGTTTACTTTTATTTTATACTTTTTTATGAATTATTAATTTACTTAATATTTATAATTGCTCTATATTTGAATAATTATTAGCCAAGTTAATAAGTTATGCTGTTGGCCAATGTCTAGAACTCTTCGATTTGGCTGATAAATAATGCTAAACAGCATTATAAGACTAACTGGAAAGTTAAAGAATCAGAATTTATATTATAATATTTGGGTAATTGTATTTTTTTGCAGATTTAATTGCTCATTAAAAATATATTTAAAATAATTATCAGCTGATTCAATAAGTCATGCTGTTGACCAATGTCTAAAACTCATTGATTTGGTTAATAAATAATGCTAAACAGCATTATAAAACTAACTGGAAGGAGAGATAAAGAATAAGAATTTATATTATAATATTTGGGTAATTGTATTTTTTTTAGACTATTGCAAATTCACAAGATATGACATTTGTAGATCATGTTGTCATGTATAAATCAGAATTTACTGATTTTCACAATTTCAAGAATTTGTTAAATATTGATTGATAGGCTATTTAGAACTTCAAGAGATTCTTTACTATTGTCACCATGAAAATCACAAAGTTATACCTTTTTGCAAACTACATTTTTATTGAATTTTACATAGTAGACTACTGAGAAGTATTAAAGACATATTTAAGATAATATTTTTGACAACAATACAAATTGAATTACAAGAATCGCAAAACTATAGAAATGGAATATATAAATATCAAATTATTTTTTCTGCTTGCTTATGATCTTTTATTTGTACTTTATTAATAATTTTAAATATTTTATTCGAAAGGAATTTTCTTTTATTATGATTTTATTTGTAATAATTATTGTAAGAATTATTATAAAAAGAATTATTATTATTATTATTTTATAATTTATTAAAAAATTTTTTTTTAAAAAAAAAAACTTGATTTACATTATAAAATTTAATGATATAACAATGTATAAAGATATAGCAGGAAGTTTCAAGCTATCATTTTATTGTTGAATTGTATCAAACATATACTGTATTAGTAAATTAATAAAAGAATATATTGCTACAAGCTAATTTAGCTGAGAAACCTTTGTCATAACAATGTTTAACACTATATATTCCACTAGCATTCTCCATCTCTGCAGATATTTAATAATAAATAAATACCTTTCATTCATCTCTTTCAACCCTGATCCTTGAAGACAACAATATCTAACTTCATTATTTCACTAGCATATCTATCTTTGTTGATTTTTGATTATAAAGAATGCCTTCTATTTATCTTTTTTAATTCTACCTTTTTAACAGTTTTCAAGCACAAATATTTCAATTTTTAGATAGTAAAAAAATACCTTATGTTCATCTTTTTAGCTCTAATTCTATTATAATAGTTATCTATATTCATGGTATCACTCCAGATCAAATCTTTAGATACTTATTATTTTGAAATCATTATACCGAAATAACAACTATGTAAAAACTTACTGATTTTGCAATAAAGCTCTATAGTAGATTGTAGTCTCGAAGTAGCTTTGTAAATTTCTAATTAATATACCTAAAAACTGCTAAATGCTTGAAAAAATTTGAATATAACATTTGTACAACTAATAAAATTAAAAAAAATCTTAGCTGAAAAGAATCACTAGTTACCTTGCCAAAACATTTAACTTTTATATACACTAGTAAAATTTTTAAAATGGATTTCTAAATTTCAAAATTATAGTCAGACCTCTCTAAGTATATGCTTTTGGGACTACACTTTAATAATGTGCATATAAAGAATAATAAGAAAAAGTGTAATTATAGAGGTTAAGTATATATTTGGGCCAGCACTTGAGCATACATTTAGAGAGGGTATGCACTTTTATCTATTATCAGTTATCAGTTATCAGTTATAGAGAATATATGTATGTACATATATACGCATATATTTTTTCACGAATATAATTGGTTAAATTATTTATTCTAGAAATCTGATAGAATAAAAATTTTTGTACTACCCCAGAAAATTTTAAGTTGATACAAAAAATTTTTACTATATACTGTATATAAGTGTATTTTTTTCAAATAGAACTACTTTTAGAAATTTAACAAATATATATAGTGGATTTTAATTTACATTTTATGAAATTTTAGCAGGAGTTAACTGTGGCTTTAAAAATTTTTATTAGAGGCATATTCTTGTAATACATATGAATTCCTCTTGTACTATAAAAATTATATAATAAATGATTAACATATCCTACTTAAATATAAAATTGCATTTAACCAGAATTATATGTATAAAGATCTAATTTCAGAGGCTTAATTTTAGTCAGATCAACTTTATATACTATATTTAAAGTTGCAACTTCAGATAGATAGTAATTTTAAATACGATAGTAATATAGATTTTAACTTCTTTTTGTAAAAGAAAAATGTTTTTTGTATGTAACTGGCAGCTATGAGTAGTGTTGTACATTTTTAATATCTGAACCATATTTGGCGGACTCGGATATTTTTGGACATTGTCTGATGTCTGTGTCCAAATTATGTCTGAGTAAATAGATTGTCACTGGATAGTGTCTGAGTAATATTTGTTAGACACGGGCACATTACAGACATGAACATTGTCTAATATCTATGCATATTACTGTATAACAACAAAATTCAGGATTTACACAAAATTTTCAAAAATATACTCTTTTTTGGCAACAATTATACCAAGAAATTGCCTTAATTCGATTACAATAGGATTTGTATATAACTATATATATGTGAATAATATTGTCAATATATGCATTGACTAAATGCTAATATATATCAATTAAAAATAAAAAATGATGTTCAAATAAACTTTACAATTTTTAGTTTATTGTTCTGCAGTTTATCAGTTTATCTTTTGATAGTTTTCTTAATTTAGTCTAAGCTCTAAAACTATAATATTGCCTGTAATGAGTATTGTCAGCATTTCTACTCTGAGTATTCTATTATTAAAACAGTGGATTATGATAGTTGATTGTACATATATATTTGAGTTCTGCAAGTTCTAGGTATGATGTTATTAAAATATAGTGTCTGGCTACCCAGACACTATGATTTAATAGCTTTATACCTGATACTTGCAAAACCCTAATATATATTAAATAGTAGTTAGCACTTTTATCTTAATGTTATCAATAGTCTAAATTTTATGGAAAGATTAAAGATTACTAAACCCAGTGATCATCACTGTATCACATGACAATCACTCGGCCTAGGTTAGAGTTAGTTTAGGGTTAGGGTAGGAGTTAGTTTAGGCCAGTTTGTTTAGTTCTGGTAAACCAATGATGTCATAATATGTTTATCATGTGATCATCGATCACTAGGTTCAGTAATCTTTAAGTGTCCCAATTTTATCTCTTTATTAATACGTTAGATTTCACATGCTGTTATGATTTTGTGGCTAATCGGACTGTGTATTAATAGATGCATAAATATGTAATAGTAAAATAATTCTTAAAGTCATTCTATATTTGAGCAAGTCAATCTAGAATATCTGTTCATATAATTGCTTCAGAGAAAGTTATAATTGAAATATCTCATATTAATTAGTATTTAAAGCATTGGTATATCTGAATTTGTAATTAAAGATAGAGAATAGAAATGTGGCTTTTGCATTTTGTATTTTCTTTGTCTACATCTTTAGTATTGTTTTTCATATTGAGAATGAGTTTTTAGAATAAAAAAAAGTTTAGCTCACATTTGTCAATAGACAAGCCAAATATAACATAATAAAATATAAACTTTATCTAGAGAATCGGATATATATTTGACACTAAATTTTCATGATATATATTAAACTTTGTTCAAAATGCTATTATCAATTTCATTAGAAAGACATATTATTAAATCTTCTGAGAAACTTGGTAAAAGTAATGTTAAAGTTTTTTGTAAAGCATGTGTTGAAGTATTAGGTGAGAAAATGGGTAAAAACAATAGTTTTCCCAACAAAATAGATAGAATCATTCAGTATCTAAAAAAATATGCACATTTTGTAGAGAAAATGACACCCGAAGAAAGAGATGAAATATTTGCTTTGTCTAATAATAAAGGGATCTCAAATGAAAAAAGACTAGGTAAAAAAAGTTATTTTATCTTTAATTTATTCATAAACTAATATATAGTTTTTTTTTTTAGCTTCTTCTAGTTTTTCTTACGATACTGCATCCAATTCCTCCAAAGCTTCTTCAATATGAAAAGTCATAGCATGATCCTCTTTCTATGGGCCTCTTGATAACTAAACAGTTTGGCCATTGTCACAACAAGACAAAGAAAGATTTGAGATTCTTTTATTAAGATTAACAGTATCTTGTGGGTAGGCTCTTCATTGAGTGAGCAATCCCAAAGCCAAAGAATTGTTTTAATTTTTGAATTCTTGTCTTAAACTTCCTGATCATTGACTTCTTGGTGGGAGAATTTTAAAAGTAGTGGTATCTAAAAAAGATAAAGACATGTATAATAAGCTTCACTAAGACTTATTTGATATTACCTTGACATTTGACAGATAGACAAATATTAAAAATGAGCAATTGCTAGGCATAATGGTTATTACTTCAGATAGTAAACCACATACATAAAAAGTTACTGATATTAGCTTAGAAAAGGAATCACATATTGAAGTAATAGAAAAAACAAAAGGAATGATAAATAAATTACAAGATATGAAAATAAAGATTTCTGCGATTGTTACTGACAGCACTGGGCCTTATGCAGTGGCAAGGTATATGCTATCTTTAAATTTTTTTTAGATATTCTTAAGTTTAATATGTTAGTGATTAGTTAAATAATTAAACTAAATTTATAAGAATATAAATCGTAAGCACACCACTACTCACTAGTCGAATTATTAGATAGCTGCAATTTCTTATAAATAGTAATATATTGTGTATTATTTTGACTGCTAGAATTTTTTTTTTTTTTTGAGAGCTTAGTATTAGTTGTTTATATCTATTAAAAAAAAGTATAAAATTTTAATTATATAGAGATGCTTAAAATATTTTAATTCAATAAAATTAATTTAATATTAGGCAAAAATTAAAGCTTTCTGAAAAAAATATCATTTTTTTACCTTGTTTTGTGCATCAGCTTAACTTAAGTGTCAGCAAGATTTTTAAAGAATTAACAGAATTGAAAATAACTATGAACAGAGTGATTTGGCTAACTACCTATTTTAAGAATGCTAACAATAAATATTTTATTGCCAAGTTACGTGATCAACAAAAAATAACTTACAAGAAATATTATGCTATCTCTTAATTAGTAAAGATTTGCAGGCAAATTTGGCTGCATAATTACTATAAATATGTCTCTGATCTACTTTTTTAATTA